ATAAAAAAGCTGCCTATACACCCCAAATCATGCAGTGTATACTCACCGAAATATCTCCCGTTCAGCTTCTCTGCCCTGTTGGGTATTTTTTAAATAAAAATAAAACAGGAAAAGCAGATGCATGCATCGCCGATAAACAAATTAAACCCACTCTCACCTGTGAAGCGGTAAACCCTAAACCCTCATAAACCCTAAACCCTCACGCAAAAAACTAAACCCTCATTCAAAAAACTAAACCCTAAACCCTCATAAACCCTAGTAAACCCTTATGCAAAACCCTAAACCCTAAATAAAACAGGAAAAGCAGATGCATGCATCGCCGATAAACAAATTAAACCTACTCTCACCTGTGAAGCGGTAAACCCTAAACCCTCAAAAACAACAAACCCTTAACCCTAAACCCTCATGAAAAAAACTAAACCCTAAACCCTCATACAACACCCTAAATCCTAAACCCTCATACAACACCCTAAACCCTCGTAAACCCTCATACAACACCCTAAACCCTAAACCCTCATACAACACCCTAAACCCTCGTAAACCCTCATGAACCCTAAACCCTCATAAACCCTCATAAACCCTAAACCCTAAACCCTCATAAACCCTAAACCCTAAACACTCCTGTTCAATGGCGGTGGTTTTATATTTCTATTGCTTATAAACAAATTAAACACACTCCTATAGTAAACCCTAAACCCTATATTTATATTTATATTTATATTTATATTTATTTTTTTTTGTTTTTATTTGTTTATAAATAAATAAAAAAATAAAAACAAAAAGAAATAAATTTTTGGTTGGTGGTGAGTGTATAAAGCATCTTTTATTTAACTTTCTTCTTTTTTATTTTATTTTTTTATTTTTTTATTTTTCTTTCTATTTATACATAATTAAATATATACAAATACATATTTATATATTTATATTTATTTTTTTTTTTATTTGTTTATATGGTTATTTTTTGGTTGGTGTGAGTGTATACACAACATCTCTTTTTTTAATTTTCTTCCTTTTTATTTTATTTTTTATTTTTTTCTCTTTTTATATATAAACACACAAATATAAATACATATTTATATATTTATATTTTTCTCTTTTTGTTTTTATTTGTTTATAGGGTTATGTTTTGTTTGGTGGTGAGTGTATAAAGCATCTTTGTTTATCTTTCTTCTTTTTTACTTTATTTTTTTAGTTTTTTTTCTATCTCTACATAAACACACATATATAAATACATAAATACATATATATTTATATATATATATATATATATATATATATATTTATATATTTTAATTTATATTTGTGTTTATTTGTGTATAGGGTTACTTCTTGGTTGGTGGTGAGTGTATAAAGCATCGTATCTATTTTTTTTTTTTGTTTTTTTTTATTTTTTTTTTCTATTTGTTTATAAACACACACAAATAAATACATCTTTATATTTATATTTATTTATATTTATTTCTTTTTGTGTTTATTTGTGTATAGGGTTACTTCTTGGTTGGTGGTGAGTGTATAAAGCATGTAAGAGCAGAACCAACAGCAACAGATGTCGATGGTTTTGCTTATCCTTGTTTATTGCGAGGGTCTGGGGCTGCATGCGGATTGAAATCTATGTGGATTACAGATGTAGATAATGCTGCTGTTGGTGATGATTCTCTCTTTGATTCTTTTAAGGGAAGAAAAAAGAAATAGAGAGATATATAAAGGAGAAAGAAAGAAAAAAGAAAGAAAAAAGAAAAAAAAAGAAAAAAAAACGAAAAAAAAGCACAAAAAAGAAGAAAAAAACGATAAAAAAAAGAAAAGAAAAAAAAAGATTACAGATGTAGATAATGCTGCTGTTGGTGATGATTCTCTCTTTGATTCTTTTAAGGGAAGAAAAAATAAATAAATAAATAAATAAATAAATAAATAAATAAATAAATAAATAAAGAGAGAAAGAGAGAAAAAAGAAAGAAAGAAAAAAAAAGAAAAAAAAACAAAAAAAAAGCACAAAAAAGGAAAAAAACGAAAAAAAACGAAAAAAAAAGAAAAAACAAAAATGTAGATAATGCTGCTGTTGGTGATGATTCTTTATTTGGTTCATTTTAATAAAATAAATAAATAAATAAATAAATAAATAAATAAATAAATAAACAACAAAAAAATAAATAAATAAATAAACTAAATAAATAAATAAATAAATTAAATAAATAAATAAATAAATAAATAAATAAATAAATAAACAACAAAAAAATAAATAAATAAATAAACTA